AGTGCGAAATTGAAGGTCACAGGTCAAATGGCAGTGGGGGAAAAGTCAGATATCAAACATTTTCTGAGGGCATGGCCTAATGGACAAAGTGAAACACTTTTTTGTTGCAGCGCTGACCTACCATTTTTATCACTTTATTGAAAGAACCATGAAATGTGCTTTCCACTGACGTGCGAAGAGTAAGTGTCTGATAACCTTCTGACCCTCAAGAGAAAGGTTAAACATGGATTCCTGAACTGCCTCAATGATGTCACAGTGCTCTCATATTCATGGCACATCCATAATCTAGAAAGCCAATAAGCCTGGATAGCCGAACTGGTACAGCACAGGCGTCACGGCTCAAAGGTCGTTGGATCGAATCCCATCAGATTTTTTATTATTTACCTGTTTTCTGTATTTTTCTATCTTTATCCATCCATGATTTCTTTACAATAATTTAATAACAACAAATAATTTTTACAATTAATAAAAAAAAAAAGAAGGTTAGGGTTAGGGTCCCAATGCACCATAAAACAGGAGTTTCAGGCACGCGATTTGTATCAACCAATGAGATTTGGGAGGTATGCAGAATGCAGAAGGTTGCTGAAATGATGTGTACGCTGATGTGTGATGTGTGGATGATCATGATGTGTATGATGGTGTCACTACGCACGACTTAAATGTTACGTTTATAACCGTAGCAACAGACCTCAGATGAGCCCAGACGCTCTTGTTTACGAGAGGCATAAGAAATGATATTTCCTCTGAGCTGGACTAATAGCGTTTCCCAAAATAGTTGATCCGTGATATTGAGTTGAAGATCTTTACATGGACAGGTTGATATGTAGGGCCTACTCTGGGTTATAGGGTGAGACAACATAAATAGATTTTATATTTATTATCTCATTTTTTATTAGTTTAACAAATTAATGGTCTTTGAGTAATGAGTTATTAAATTTCCCCCGCATGTTAGTTATACCTGGAATCAAGTTTATCGATGCGGGACGGGACCGTTCCGCTCTCTGGACACAGGATTATCATCTTCTTTATCGGCATGTCCTTCCATTTCCCGCCCTGACTCTTTGACACTCTACCACCCAAGCCTATAAATGTAACGCGTAAATAGTAGACGAGGCTCTGGTATAGGCAGACGTACGTTCATTGCCCGTGGACAGGACTACATTACAGATCTTCAGTGATATAGAATAGACGACAGCTTATGCATTATTAATTGAGCACATTGAAGGGACGTTATAGTTCAAAACTTGTACGCATGCAAACTCACTTCTTAGAACCAGATTCAGATAGCCGTAGTAGTACGAATAAGCCAACATGCCCGGGGGCTGCAACAACACAAATGAAAGGTATTAACCTTTCCGTTGACGTTGATGTTGTAGACAGTCTGCGGGTAGGCGCGCTGCACCTGACCAGCCTGGTCAACGACCTCAGCATCAGTTTTACCGGCAACAGTTATCCTGCAAGTATAAATATTGTTTTGAATAGATCGATGAACATTATAAACGTATAAACATTTTATAAACATTTTCGTTGCCGTTAGCTGGCGGTAGTGTCGTGCATGATATGATGATGATGATGGTGATGATGCTGCTGCTGCTGCTGCTGATGATGATGATGATGATGATGATGCTACTGCTGCTGCTGCTGCTGCTGCTGCTGCTGATGATGATGATGACGATGATGATGGCGACGACGATGATTATGATGATATTGATGATGATGATGATGATGATGATGTTGATGATGATGATGATGATGATGACGAGGAGAATGAGGGGGAGGAGTAGAAGGAAGAGGAAAAGGAGAATAAGAAAAATGGGAAGAAGAAGGAGAGAAAGGGGAGTAGGGGGAGGAAGAGGAGGTGGAGGAGGAGAAGAATAAGGATGAATAAGAATAAAAATAAGAAGAAGAAGAAGAAACAAAAGAAAAAGAGAATGAGGAGGAGGAGGAGGAGGAGGAGGAAGCGGCGGATATAACTAGACGACAGCAGACATCATTTATTTATTTATTAAATCTATATTGCAGGTAATTCAAATACACAAGTACATGTACTGAATACAGTGTTTTTCACGGAGAAAAAATCTGATAAATGCAATAGTGTTGAGCAGTTAAAATAATAAAATTGATGAGTGATACAGCTAGTAAAAAACACTGCTATACAACATGAAGGAAAAATATATACAAAAAAACGTCAGCATATTCTGTACAAGTAGTGATTATAAGGTACATATTAACATCATTTCGACACTCGTGCACCATTATATACACAAATACACTCTTATCTAAATAAAGTTTTTACATAACAATGGTCTGGGTCTGGGCTAGTGAAAGTTAGGTCAGGGCTAGTGGTTTTCCTCAGTTACTATAGCCCGATGGTCTAGTGAAATATAAGTTAATGTTGAACCCAGAACCCATCACTGAAGATCCATCATAATTTTTTAGTTCTAGTATCGTTTTATTTATGTGGTTTCTATTTTCCAGATTACAGAAATAGGATGTTGGTTTTTCACCCCCTAACGTGGTTGTTCCGAATATCTTCTAATTCTAAATTTAAATTTTCTAAAATATCTAGGTTGGTTCTTGCAGTCTTGGGGTGTGCTTTTATTTGGTCATCCAGCGTTTAATGCTCTAATGCTTTTTCTAATTCACGGTTTTTTCGTTTTTAGCTCATCTGACGTAGTCAGATGCAGCTTGTAGAATCGCATGATCGTCCGTGTGTCCGGCCGTCCGTGCGTCCGTCCGTCCGTCCGTGCGTCAACAGTTGGGCACAAATCTTAACCGCTCGACGTACGGTCACGATATTCGGGACGTCGGGGGGGGGGGATCGTGAAAAGCAAAAGGACTCGGAATAACAAATTTGGGGGTCAAGGGTCAAAGGTCAAGATGCTGTAAACGGAGGGGGAATATTTC